GTAGAGGGGTGGCAGGGCTGCTGCAAAATCCTTGAGCTCCCAGACAAATAAAAAAGGGTAAGAGGAGGGAGGGGAGGGGAAGGAGTGAGCTCAAAGGCCCAGATGATCTTGCAGGTCCCTAAGGCCTCCGGGCCTCTACCCCATACGGGTTCTTATCTGCCCACTGACAGCCACAGGTGTTCCTGCTCTTGGCACTTGAGCACCTGAGACCTCCCGCCCCATTTGCTTAATGTAAACATCTGTGTCTTTTCTTGATGACTAAAATTGTATCTGCACAGATACTGTGTTTAATGCAGTGTTTATGTACTAACCATGGAAACATCAAAACCCTTAGCACACTGCATCCTCCTTTTTGCTTCCTCACTTTCAATTATTTTTTAATAAACACATTTTGGTTTAGGTAATGCATGGATGCAAAGCCAAACAAACCTACCTTCTGTTTTAAATATCCAGGACAATTAAGTGTGTTCTTTTTCATTGGGATATAATTATCTACACACAAGAGAGACCCTTGTAGGAATTTCTCCTGCAAGAATGTGACCTGTTAAAATTCCAAAAGCTTAAAGCACACAAAACCAGTTTCACTGCTGCACAGAAAGTATCTTATTGAAAGTCACTTATGTTTTAATACAAAATTAATTTTTACTATTTAAAAGATATTTATTTTGTATATTCAAAAAGAACAGTGTCAGAGAGAGTGGCCTTGAAACTCCATCCAGGCCTTCCGTGTGGTTGGCTGGGACGCAAGAACTGGAAGCATCATCTGCTCCTTTAATGGAGCCTTCCTCATATGGATGCCTACATGGCCCTGCCATGGGCCCCACCAGGAAGAAACTACTATATCAGTGAACTCTTTTCTAGCCCCAGAAAACTTTCTTCAGACCCCTGATCTTGGAGAGAGGGTTGTATTTTACCCTGTATCCAGGCTGGCCTTCCAAAACTAATGGTGGCACTGAGTGTTTCCTGTAGGCTTAGATAGCAAACCTACCTGGTTAAGTAAGGAGACCTAGCCTTATCCTCCTTGAACTGACTCCTGGTCAATGTATCTGACCATCTGAGCCCACGTTCTAGGACTGACAGTTCCAGTTCAGTGTTTTCCCAGGACTCGGTCACAGTCTTGCCTTCTGGCTTTCCCCAGCAAGTCCTTACAGATTCTTTGCAAACCTGAAGCCAGATTATATCCTAGGTTATGTATTCAACAACAGAGTCCTCTTGCCCCGCACAGGGCAACGAGCTAGAGCAGCTCGAGGTTCTAAGCAGCTTGTAGCACCACTTATGTGTAAATCAGTGTTGACAAATAGTAAAACGTTTGAGAAAAAAGAATGATACACATTGAATTTGTGACAGTGTTTACATTTTGGGAGGGTGGGATAGGGTGAGGAGAGTGACAATAGGTTAGAAAATACAGGAAACCTTAACTGTACATGTAATGCTTTATTCCTTTTTAACACCAGCACCAAGCAAATGCAAGCAATGCAAGGTAGCATTTCCTATAGCTGGACTGCGGGTATATAGGTGTTTATTATACTCATTCATCTCTAGGCCCACTTGCATTTTTGGAGAAGTCCAGAGTAAAATGAAATTTATTTTAGGGGTGAATGGGAGGTGGGGAGACTAGGCTGAAGACATATCCTAAAATCCATCCCTTTTATATGGGGTCCATGATTCTGACCTTCTTTGAAGCTAATGTCAGTCTTTGACAATTTCCTGGGTTCTGCCAGAAAGCGTTAGATCCTTAATTTGGATACGACTGATACTGTGACACATGGGAAGTCCAGCAACAAGAGTGTCAGCATATTTATATTAGTTCTCATTTTCACGGACAGTAAATGTGCTTACTCTTTGTTCTGGAGAAAAATACTGTTTTCTGGACAGTCTTCCTTTTTTCAAAACGATTTATTTATTTTTATTTGAAAGGCAGGTTTTACAGAGAAAGGAGAGACAAGAGAGAAAGGTCTTCCTCCTGCTGATTTCACTCCCTAAATAGCCAATAAGGGCCACAACTGAGCTAATCCGAAGCTGGGAGTCAGCTGCTTCTTCTAGGTCTCCATTGTGGGTACAGGAGTCCAAGAACTTGAGCCATCTTCTACTGCTTTTCCAAGCCATAAACAGAGACATGGATGGGGAGTGGAGCTACCAGGACACCAATTGTTACCCATATATGATGCCACACCACAGAATGGAGAATTAGCTGATTAGGCCACTACAAAGTTTTTCTTTTCAAAATAAGTGCAGAACAAAGAAAAGCCCTTCTGCTTGGTAAGATGTGCAGGACATTTTAAAAAATGATACTTTCTCTGTTTCTATTTCTGTGACTTTCAAACATGATGGAAATAAACGAATTTTTAAAAACAGTAGGAATTCTAATAGGTAGACTTCTGTATGGTAAGAATATTCCTACTTATTTTTTGTTCATCAGAAAGTAACAGATTATGAAGTGATGAAGAAAAATTCCTGAAATGTCCTAACTTTAATTCCAAGGGCTGGAGAATGGAGGAAGGGAAGACAAAGGACGTTGAACAGCTAAGAGCTGTGTGCCAAGGCAACAACAAAGAGCGTTCCATATTCCTGAATACCTGGTGAAGCTTTGACTGAAAGATCAGCTGAGTGACCACCAGGTCTCACTACGTGTCATAAGTGAACGAACTTTCTGGACTACACAACTCAACCATCGTCAAAACACCAATGCTTCTTGTGCAGTTCCCGTCTAGCTGTGCCACCTCTCTTCTCTGTAGTCAGTGCAGGCTCAATGTAAACAATTTCCTTCTTTGGAGGGAGAGAGAGGGAGAGAAAAGGAAAGAGGGAGAGAGAAGAGGAGAGATTACGTGAGACCTCTTTCTCCAAATTTTTGTCATAGAATTGCTCTTGGCTCCTATATCCAGCCCACTCTCCTCTGTTGCCATTTAGCCTGGCTGCTCTTGGCTAGGGACTCGGCCCAGGACCTCGTCTTTTGCTGGCTAACACCTGTTCGCAGTTCTACAAATCCCTGTGTATCAAAGATTTCTCAGTCTCAAATGTTCCAGTTTAATACAAGAATATAGTAGGTTTCTCCTTGCAGTCATATCATGTATATCATGTTTCATGAGATGGCTTAAGGGGTTACATGTACCCCACGATTCTGTAATTTCCTTTCATTGTATCAGGAAGCTGGCACTGGGAGGTTACTGAAGAAAAAAAGATCAGAAATTACACAGAATTTCTGGTGGTATTGCTGTGGAAACCACATGTCAAGCATCACCTAGGTTACAATCATAAACATACTCCGAGTCAAATTCTTGCAAGCATTATCAGACTTGAGTGAAGTTTCCAGAGGAAGAGCACAGCCAGTGAAGCCGCCGACATTCACCGAGCACTCATGGTTTACTAATGGCACAGTGTGATATTAGGTGTTGCTAACTCAAGTGAAGAGAAAGCAAACAAAACCCAAACTCAGAAGTCCTGCTGACTTTAGCAGTACAAGAGAGCTGAACTGTCACTCAGATTTCAGACAGGAAGGAAGAAATACATCAGAGTAGAAAGGAACATGATGCTTACAGGAAGATGACGAGTTCCCAAGCCTAGCTAGGTGACTGAGAAACTGAATGACACTGGACAAATCATTTAACCTGGATTTTCTTCCTTCAGTGGAATGGGTCTAAAAATATGAATAAGCACCTTATTTCAGGAGGTTGCAATGAGGAATTCTCTTGTAAACTTGCTGTTAATTATTTATTCTCCTCTGTGTCTTCTCCCTAATGTTTCGCCCTCCAGAGGACACAGCCGCTTTAGCCTGCGTGTGAACATTCAGTAAATTACTTGTTTCAATGTCCTGTGGGACAGCATAACAGCTAAAACCACTGCCTACGACACCAACCTCCCATACAGAAGCAGGCCCCACATCCCAGTGGGAAAAGGAGAAGGGGAGAGGAGAGAACCTTCTACAAACGTTCCCGACAGCCAGGGCTAAGCCCAGGAACTCAGCCTCGGGCCCAGGGACTCCGGCACTTGAGCCATAGCTGCTGGCCCCCAGCGTGCCCGTTAGCAACAGGCAGGACCCAGCAGGTCAGCTGAGACTGGAACCCAGAGCCCTGCGTCCTGGCTTCTGGGGTTTCCACTGTACCCAGGCTGTCCCCCAGAAGCCGACCTCACAGAGCAGCACACGCGCCAGACACTTAAAAAAACATGATTGGTGGCATCTTTACTCTCCTGTAAATCTGTAGTTTCAAAAAGACTGCCAGATGTCACAGGTGAGAAAAGAACATTGAATAAAATCAGAAAATAATGGGTGCTTCTTCAATGTCTGTGAAAGGCTTGTTAGGACTTGCCCTCTTCCAAAACTGTTATTTATCTACAATTCAGATTTTCCTGTGTGCCGGGTACGGTAGGATCCCTGCCTGCCAGTGTCCCCTGCAGGGCCTCCCCCAACGGCTGTGTGTGTGTGTGTGTGTGTGTGATGAACAGGTAAAGTCAGCTTTCCCAAAAGAGAGGGTTGTCTTCCATTTACGGCAGAGATGAACATAGTCCCCGGGACACAATAAAACCCACAAATATCTGTTGAAAGAAGAAATCAACTTAGCAAACACAGTCTTCACAATCATGGACTGGGGTTGTGTGTGTTTAGTTGAATCCAAGCCGAGTATTTTTCCAGCACTTAAAAAATGTTTTTTTTAAAAAGCCCCCTCTTTGTACACTGTTTCACATTTGGAACTGGCAGAATTCAGGCCTTGATGGGAACGAAATCAAGAGCTCAGAATGTACTCGTCGCAGACGGGGTCCATATGGTCACCGCCGGGGAACAGAACCCGGCACGCCAGCGGATGCCGACCAGCCTGCGGCAGGCGGAGCCAACAGACCCCGCCCCCTCCCGGCGGCCAGGGCGCCCGCGCACGCGCAGCGCGGCGGCCCGGCCCCCTCAGGGCCCGGCTGCGGGAGGCGGGGCTCCCGAGGCGCGTGCGCGGCGGCCCGGACGGCGGGCCCCTCCCTTGGCGGGGGCGCGCGGCACGGAGGACCGCACCGAGAGGGGGAAGTCAGGTGGCCGCCGCCGCCGCCGCCACGGTCTGTCGCCAGAAGGAAGATGGCGGATCTGGAGGAGCAGTTGTCTGATGAGGAGAAGGTACGAGCCGCGGGGGCGGCGGCCGAGGCTGCGGGCCCCGAGCCGGGAGAGCCGCGGCGTGTCAGCCCCGCGCGGACGGGGCCCTCGAGCCGGCGGGCTGTGCCCTCGGCTGCCCCTTCCTCCCCCGCCCGGCCCTGACCGTGAGCCGAGGGCCGCGCGCGGGGGGCTGGTGTCTGACGGGGCCTGCCTGCGCCGCTCCTTGTAGGGTGTGTGTGTGTGTGTGTGTGTGTGTGTGCGCGCTCCGAAAATAGGAAGCGGGCGGCGGCGGCGGGCCCGGCGCGGTGGGCGGGGGGCGCGAGCCGAGGGCGGCGGCCGTGCGGGGGTGGGCTGCGGTCGAGGGGGTCCGGGGGTGCCCAGGGACTCTGGGGTGCCGCCGGGGGTCTGTGTCCCGGGCCTGGGAGCGACCCCGGGGCCCGACCTGGAGCTTCGCGGGGAGCTGAGGGGGGGAAGGGGAGAAACCCGCTTAGGAAGCAGACCTTCACTTGTGCCTTGTGCACCCCCCTGCTCCGCCCCATCGCCGAAATGCTGCTTTTCCTCCTCCTCCTGCACGGGTTTCCCTTTATCTTCTTCACTTTCGTTGGGGGAGCCGTGCAAGCTCCATGTTCCCTGCGAGGGAGCGGAGTTGCCCACAAAAATAAAAAAAACAAGGACCCTCGCCTTTGGTTTTTTTGCTTTTTGGTGGTTTTTCTTTCTGCCCCAGGTGCGCTGGGGCTGCTGGGTGGCACCCTGTATCTTCCTGGTGAGACTTCTTCTCGAGGAGGTGGTGTGAGTCCCCGTGTGCTAGGTGCTGTGACAGCAGTGGAACCAGATGAGCGGCTTCAGCCCTCAGACGTGTAAAATAAGAAATCTGATCGTAGAACGAGTTCTCTCTTCGCCCTTTCCCTTGGGCTGCCGGGTAAAGGCCTGATGCTTCTCTGCGATGGGTGGGGTGGGGAGGAATCCTAATAATTTTTTTTTTTGAGTATTTCCTGGAGAGGACATAGGCCCGTCTCAGACTTCCAAGTAACTAACATGGTAGGAGTTGTGACCGCTTGGGACATGCCTGGCTTGAGCCGTGCCACGCGCCTGTGTCCTCAGGAAGGTTTTGTCGGCAATGCATGCAGTTACATGATGGTGTTTCAAAAACTCGAATGTCAGCCGAGAGGCGTTCTTCAATGGCAACCCTCTATCCTGTTTTTATTTTCTGTGTTCTCACATCAAAATCCAAGGTTCTCTTTCCCCTAGGTTTAAATTCGGTTTTAAAAATGTTTTCTCTCTGTTAAGTGGTAATGAAGAACAACCACCAAAAAAAAGTGGAGACAGCAACACAGTTCTCCATAATCCGCGGGCCCAGCCGGCCGGTGCCATGGAAGCTGCTGGGCACTGTTCACATGTGTGGTATTGGTAAACAAGGCCGTGCTGCAACGGAACCTGGGCATGAGCACGCACACGTACGCGCTGAAGTAGTGCTAAGGTTGTCAAGGAGGTCGTTGTGCTTGTATTCCATCATTCTGAAGTGGTTATTAGTAGTTCAAGTGGATAAAAATGGAGCCGGGGAGGGAGTACTCAGTGTGGGAGTCAATGCAGACCCGCCATGTGTTGCCAAGGGCCGGGTAGCACATCAAGATGCCAGGATCCCTGGTGATCTGGCACCTGGGAGCACCACGTGGGGGGGCAGGAGAGGCGTCTGTGGCCTGCCGGCGCAGTGCTGGTTCAGCCAGTGAGCGTTCCTGATGTGAATTGGCGGTGGGATATTGGGATCTTTGTGAAAATAATCTACAGATGTTTTACTTGTAGATTTCATCCCTGAGTCTACTCATTTAAGGAAAAATAGTTCATGAAGTAGAATTTTAATACTCTTCAGTTATCAAAATGTTCTTTTCAGTTTTCCAGGGAGAAGGATGTTGGTGGGGATATTTTAAAGTCACATTTAAGTCATGCTACTCTTCCTGCTCCTTTATCAGTTTGAAAAATAAGCTTTTTGTAGTATTAGTTCTAAATATGGTCTAAGGGAGGGGAGCTGTTAAAAATAGATGAGTGTAAAGCCGTACTTTGTATATTCCTGCTCAGAGTATTCCTGTTTGTTGTAAACTAGAAGTAGGTGGTTTTATCATTTCACTGATGAGTGAAGTGAGGTTTTGAGAGTTTTAGCAGGGTAGAAAGTGTTGAAGTGGCACCTAGACCCAGGATTGTCAGAGTTCAGAGGTCATGCTCTTGTACCATGTCCATTCAACAGCAGCGATTATGGGAACCTCCTCTGGGTTTGTCTCGTTACTTTTGATTTTTTTTGACAGTTTATTTTTAAAAAGGAGAAGCAATGGTTCTTATAAATAAAATCTGTAGATATCAAAGAGAACAAAATTTATTATTTAGTCATTTAAATATTTATACTACTGGTGTAATTTTATATATGCCTTATAGTAGGCGGCATCTTAGAAATTGATCTAGAATAATAGCTTTGCTTTTAAAAATGCACAATTACTTTTTGAGGATACCACTATGAAACTTAATAACCTCTTCTCTTTTGGCCACAGGGTTAAGAGGAAATAAATTTAGCTGAAGAAGCACAATGAAGTTCTTTAAAGCTATTAATTCACTGCCGTGTGTCCCTCAGACTTCTCACATAGAGGAACTCCAGGCCAAAACAGTTCACACTCACTGTTCCTGGGTCAGCTGCGTGACACAGAAAAGCAGAATTGTGAATTTGAAATTGTAATGCAAGGTTTAAACTAAAAGAACCATTCCAAGCCACTCTAAAGGAGAAACACTTCCTGAAGGAACATAGTTGTTAATGGCAAAGGATCTTTTTTTATTATTATTATTATTTTTTATTATTATTATTCCTATAACCCCTCTGCCTTCCCCTAGCAATTAGAAGAATCTATTTCCGTAGCTGCAACCTGTATGTCTTGGTAGTTGTGCCCTACGTGCATGGCTCTAGCTGTGACTTCTTTCCTGAACCTCAACACTGGTCATGTATTTTGATCTGCTGGTGCTTGTTACAGGCGTTAATGAGATGTGTTCAAGTGGAGCCAGAAGTAAATTTATAAACTTTTTTTTTTTTTGCCTTCATGAACTACTTACTTTTCTGTCTTATTTCATTTCTCCAGCTTTATTTTAACATTTTTTTCCTTTACCATATTACTTAAATTTGATTTCTAAATGTGGTCACTTCTGTCATCAAAGTGTGTCTTTTCCATGTACTTCTCGCTTGAAAGTTTAATTATTTGTATTAATATATGGTTCGTTACCTCTTGGTTGACCAGATGATTAAATTAATGTTGTTTGGTAACAAAAATTCACTGAATGAAGTGTGGCTATTCTGTGACAACAGTTAGAAAAGAAAGTCGGAGCAGGATCTGTGGGTAGAGGGCATGTCTCCTGCGTGTTCTTTCCCTGCAGCACTTGGACTGTTGAGTAACAAAGTGTACACTGAGCTTTCAGCTCCCAGCATGGGAGCCGAGGTCTCTGCCCTTGCCTCTTTGTGACTGGATCCCTAATGCTTTTGCCAGGAAGCCCAGCTCACTCGCTCGCTCTCTCCTTTTTTAAACTAGATTTATTTTATTATAAAGGCAGATTTTACCAAGATGGAAGAGAACCATCTTGCACCCACTGATTTGCTCCCCAAATGGCCCCAATGATCATGCTCAGTCAGTCTGAAGCCAGGCACTTTCCCTGGGTCTCCCTTCTTAGTGCAATAAGCAGAGAGGCGGATGGGAAGTGGAATAGCAGGGACATGAACTGGTACCAATAAGGGAGGCTGGCACGTCAGGGTGGAGAGTTAGCCTGCCCACACCATTGTGCTGGCCCCAGGAAGCCTAACTTTGGAGATGATGTTCAAGGTCTTGTATTTCAATCAGACCTAAATAACTGTGATATTGCCATTCTGTCATGTAATGCTTGAGTGTAGATACCACACACTGGTCCATTTCTAGCACTTGAGGCAAATTAGTTCGTCTCCCAGTCAGATTTCCCCAAAAAGTAAGGAATTAACAGTAAGTGCCTTCTCCATGGAGTTGCCCTCTTAAGGGTGCCCGGTGCCTGACCTGGTGCCTGACGTGGTGCCTGGCATGTAACAAGCACACCGTGTGTGTTGGATGCTTTTTCTCAGCTTACAACTCTCATCCGCTTTGAGGGTTAATACTGCTGCTCGTCTGGTCCCCTTGTTGAAAGGGGAGGACTTGACTTGTTCTTCCAGCTGTCACGTGGATAGTTTCATCTCTTCCAGGCCCTGTAACCTAACTTTAGTATAAAATACAATTATCCATAACATTTTGTTTACCTTTCCGCCTTTTTTGTTGAAATTTCTAAGTATAGAATATGTTTTCTTCAGCATCTGTTGTTACTCCCTGCATGTAATGGGTAGAATAGTTCACTGAGTGAATGAACACGATGTCATGAGCTCACAGAATGAAGAGGAAACAGCTTTATGAAATGTAAAGGAGTATATAATGGCAGGTTTCTGAAGGAAGCATCTGGTGTACCTACGGTTTTTGTATCTCAAATTGTGCTAGAGATCTAAAGATTTAAGTAGTCTAAGGAAATTCCTGGTGTTCTTTGAGGTGAAATTGACTAGGGTTCAGATGTGAAATGTGTGTGTAGTGGGTTTTTTTGGTTTTTTTTGTTGTTGTTTTTAAGATTTATCTATTTTTGCTGGGAAGTCAGATCTATCTGCTGGTCCACTCCCTAAGTGGCTGCCACAGCCAGAGTAGAGCCAGTCTGAAACCAGGAGCCAGGAGTCTCCTCTGAGTCTCCCACACGGGTGCATGGTCCCAGAGCCTTGAGCCATGCTCAGCTGCCCTTCCAGGCCACAAACAGGGAGCTGGATGAGGAGTGGGGCCACCAGGACACGAAATGGTACCCACATGGGATCCTGGTTTATGTAAGGCAAGGACTTCAGCCACTAGGCTACCGCACCTGACCTAAGATGTTCTTTTTAAGTAGTTTATATATGTTTTCCTCAGTATAGAAGCATAAACTGGCATCGTTAGTTTTTGTGTATAGTGAAAACAATAGAAGCC